GAAGCGGCTCGGTGGAAGAGGGTAGGGGCGCCCCCACGGCACAATTTCGCACGCAGATTTGGCCGGAATCGCCGGCGGCGGACGGGCGAAACCAATGGCAGGCGGTGGCTGAAGAGGGTGGCGAAAGGGTGCAGGCTGAAATGTCCCTTCCACCAACCGCTTTCCTGGGATACGGGGCACCGCCGGGGCGAGGCGAAAACCTGTGTTTTCGCCTTAAAAAAAATTATGGGTCTGACGGACTTGCAAGGTCTGATCGGGCAGCATTTTCAGCGTCGACCTGCATTTTGATGGTTATTTTGCAGATCACGGCTTTATACGAGGTCTGCTAAAGATGCTTTTAGAGATGTACTGGAAACAATGAAACTGTGCACGTACACTTCATTGCCTACCTATATACCACACAGACTGCATAAAACACGAGCGCTACATATGGGTATGCTGGTCATGCAATGCCACCGATCGCCGAGTTGACAGCACTAGCTCCTGTGCGCAAATTCCAGCCAAGCAACGGAACAAGGACGCCGCGCCAGCGCCACATCACCGGAGCGTACACGACAGAGAGAATACCCGACCCGCACTGCCCTGCCCGCAGCCCGGCCGGCCTGTCCATTGCGCGCGATTGATCGACGGACCGCCCCGGCCAGCCAGACGCGCGCCGTCTCCCTCCCTCCGGCCGGCCGGGGCCAGGCAGACCCGCGGATATGCAGAGGACAACCCGGCGCCAAGCGCAACGCGACGGGCCGCGAAAGCAGAGGCGCGCATGCGTATGCGTATGGACGCGGCCGTGGGCGATCAATCCATCATCCGTCCATCGATCCAAACCAAACCGGGCCGCGCAGGGGTCGTTTCGTTCGCCGGACCGCATGATTACTGCCGCTCCCCGTCCCCGACGGGGGAGGTGTCCTCCGCTCCGACGCCCGCGCGCTAGCGGACACCGGCGGGAAATTATCGCCGCGCTACGCTCCGGGGGCGGGGGGCACCGTGATCGTACTCTGCATCTGCATCTGCATGCATGGAGGAGGCGACGTGCGCGCCTGATCGGTCGATCGACGCGACCCGCCCGGCCGGCCATCATTATTCGACGGAAGAGTACGTCTCATCGTCATCGGCATCGGCATCCCTGGAATGGAACAAACGATAAGCGTAGGTGTGATAGGATAGGACCTGTCATGCTACCACAGACATGCATTGAGGATACTTCAATTATTATTAGGATTATTCTGCGAAAAATCAAAGGTCATATATTTAAGTAGCACAAACACTTAAAAAACACCCTTAGATTTTTTGGAAAATACATCCAAACTTTTAAAGGTGTCGAGGTCTTCTTCCTCTTGCATCCACTGACAACGCGCCGTGAGCAAAACTCTTGTCGTCTCTGGGTCTCTGTCTCAGCGAGGCAAACTTGTTTGAAAACCAGGATCTTATAGAAGTAGATCAGAAGATGTCGGTAGACTCGATCTGCATAGCAAATAATCACCCCCGAGAAGCAAAAGTCGGAGAGGGCATGTAGAAAGCTTTAGTTCCAGCTAAACAAAGTTGGGAAATGAGAAATCTCACACGCTCCTCGACGAGGCCGAGATTGGACAACCTTCATCAATTGGAATTGGAGCAAGAGAATCAAGATGCACAACCACGTTGTCTGCTACGTAGGGCAGTGTGACCTAGACAAACATGCAGAACAAAAGGCTGTATCTGGAGCCAGATCTAGGGACACATCATCTTTCACACACCTTCCCACGATACAAAAAAGCATTACTGGAGCCGGGCGAGGCGTGAAGACCTTATTCTACGTTGACGACAGTACCATCATCTCACCAAAGCCGAACGAGACAAACCCTAAATTAGTTCTGAACCCTACCATCACCGACCGAAGCCCTGGGGTCTCCGCCCCTCCCGTTACCGGAGTGATAAACGAAGGGAGAGGGGACCCTTGGACTCGCTGAAGAGTTGGGTAAATCAGCCGCCGCCACATGTCGCCTTAGTCAGGGGGTAGGAGGGCAAAAAACGCCCGTACACAGAGGATACTTCAGTTAATAGTTTTTTTAACATGGTCGATTGTAGGGCATGCGTTTAGAGTATATATAACACGAACGATGGTTGCATGACCGCATATCATTTTTTTCTAAGATAGCGAACCGCTCATACCATGTGGTTGCGTAGCAGTATCATGATACATACACTGTATAGGAAATAAAAGTACTGGCACATTTAGCATATTTAGACATTTATCTACTCCAACATATACATCCCTAAATAAATGTTCAGGTGGCTACATACTGTCCAAGTATTTGAGTTACTCTTTCTTCCCTCCTAATGTTCCTTTGGTTCCGACACGTACGTACGTTGTCAAGAGGCGGTACTGGTGCCGATCAGCAATGGAGGTGGATCGGGGGACGGCGAGGCATGGGAACCGGGATCGAACTGGCCGGGGGATCGGTGTTCCAGCAGCTGGAGGTATAGCTGAGATCGAAGGCCGAGAGCGTGACAGGTGGGGATAGCGTGAGGGAAGGAGGAGAGGCTCTCGATCTCTATCTAGGATCCGGCGCATGCCATGCATGGCATACGATGCATGCATGCACGGTGGATCAGTCGTCAGTGTGTAGGTTCAGGGCACAGAGGCTGCATGCCTGCCCGTTGTTTGTTGGTAGTGATCGATCGATGCATGCACCGTACGCTTGCTGATCGAGTTGCTGACACATAATTTCTCAAAAAAGGAAAAAAGAAGAGAGATGCCGATCCATGCATGATTTGATTAGATCTTACATTAGCGTGATCGAGGTGGTTCGGTAAATGTCATGTCGGGGTAGTAGGCAACTAGCCTCCCCATTTGTGATATATGCAAATATATACGGTCGATTTTCTAGGCCAAGAGTACCGATCATGATCAGTTTTTTTGTACTACTCCATGCACGAACACACATTTCTTAGCTACACACCCAATTCAAGTGATGCACAAGCTAGTGTGAGCATATGATTGAGCAAAGGCCCCACGAGCGGATTCTGTCAATAATCAAACTCAGGCTGTCAAGCATGGATTAGGACATTGACACACATTAGTTTGTATTCGCGTAATTATTATACGACACACATGATGTAAGTGTGCCCGGTGATGGATGGATCGATGGATGGCCCGTGCATGATGACACAAGCATAATTGCGACGGATCTGTAAGTTGTGACACGGCCCGGCCGGTCCCTTTCTGGCAAACAAAGGAAAGGAAACGCCTACGCACAGTACCTGGCTGAACATCCACACATGCGCACACATGCATGTACTCCTACGCCCGCCCGCCCGCGCCCACAAGGCCAGAGCCAGAGGAATCAGAATACGCAAAGCTTGCTTGTCGCACCAAGGCCAGGTCTTAACAGTAGACGGAAAAGAGCAAGATATAGTACGCACAAGTAATGAGTTTTGATCCTTACAGGAGAGGGGGTAATCATAAATTAATGTGCAGGACACAAAGAGCAGTCAGCATGCAAGGACGGAGGTCGCACTGTTTGTGCCCCTTGTCTTCTCCCTCTTGGCGTTGCATGTGACATGGGCCTACGACCCTGCCATTTTTTTGGGGGGTGGACAAGCATGATCTCATTTTAGAACAAACAGCATAGAATAATGGGGTAACTCAAAACCTACCCCCCTGGAAAGCGTGAACTTGCTCCAATAGTCCAACCGCACCGCGTAAAAAACAGAATCCGCATGCAATCACAAAGGCTATAGGCTAGGTAGTGGTAATATTATTTATCTACACCGATCCTTAACTCATCATCTGGCAGGTCGATTGGTTGGAGCACTAACCCCGTCCTTGGCCGCGCACACAGCAACCAAACAACAGAAAACATCAAAGCCACCCCAACCCCAACGCCCACGACGGCACACGGCTCCACCGCGCAAAACCCCAAGCCATCTAGCGAGCTAGGGTTTCGTTCGTACATTAACTATGAAATCAAGAATGCCATGCATGGATATATGCTCCATGGATCGATGGGCCAGCTTATCTTAACATAACATAACCTTGGTGATCGATCAAGCTGATGAGCAGCTCCTGTCCCAATCGAGCCGAGGGTCGTCCGCGTCCATGGCATGAAACAAGGCAACGATAAACATTGGGGAACAAGGAGGGCGGGGACAAGGGGGGAGAGCCACTGATCGAGCATGCAACCAAACCAACCCTCGGAATTAAAAGTAAAAGAGAAGGAAGGGAGACGTCAAGGGTTAGAGGACAAGGAGCACCACGAAATCCTATACGACCATATTCCTCCCCGCTGTCTCGCGCCAAGCGCTAGCCTCCAGGGCCCTTTGTACTACCTCCCCGGCCTCACCCGACTTTAAAAAGTGGCGCCTCACATCCAATCACCAAACCAAACCAAACCAAACCAAACCCAACCCCCTACCACACCACCACTACACCAGCGCTAGCTAGCTGCACGCGCCACACCATTCATGTCCATGTCCATGTCCATGCATACACCCTACCCCGGCCCGGAGGCATTTTGCCGCTTGGACTTTCCACCCCTCGCCCCGATTCCCTTCCCTTTCTTCCTCCCCGAACCACTTTAGCTCGCCAGCAAAGTGGACGGGCCTTGGATTGGATCCCTTGGATTTGAGTTGGCGCGGAAACACATGCGATCACTGTGCATGCCCAAACGAACGCATCATCGATCATGAGTAGCCACTAGCCACTAGCCAGTGTGAGAGTATTAGTGCAAGAGGACAGACAATCTATGCTACGCAAACCCCCCATGCCTCCTCCCTCCTACATACATATATATACCCCGGCTCGCCCCCTCCAACCTCCCCTCAGCCAGTGATCGGTCCATTTGCAGCTTGCTAGCTAGCTCCAACCAGACCAGACAGCGCCACCCCTCCCTCTCGCATCGCACACTCGCATACCCACCTAGCTGGCTCGCTCTACCCACTACAAGTGAGCTAAGCCAGTCCTAGCTCTGCAACAAGAAGCACTTGCGAGCCAGCTACTCGTCGTAAGCAAGTCCATCTCGCCGATGAGAAGGCAGGGGCGCAATGAGGCTTCCCCGTCGATCATCCACACGTCGTCCATAGCCCTCCTCCAGGAGCGGTTCAGGAACCTGCAGAGGGTCAAGGAGATGCGGGAGGGCAGGGAGCTGCAGCGGGTGCACCACTCCGCCGACGCCACCGACCGCACCGGCTCCCCGTTGCCGCCGGCGCCTCTCGACCTTGGCCTGCAGCCCACGGCGGCCGGCGGCGACGAGCGGCCGAGGTGGTTCTTGCACCCGGACCTGGTGCGGCCGTCCAGGCCCCTGCACGGCGCGTCCGCCTACAGCGGCTTCGGCGGCGACAACGGCGGCGTTCAGGCGTCGCAGCCCGCGGCGGCGGCGGCGGCGGGCTCGTGGGGGGAGGTGCCGAGAATGCAGAATTCGGGCTATAGGGGTGATGTAGACGTGGACACCTCGCTTCATCTGTAATATCGTCGTCTACGTACGTACGCCGTCCCAGCTGCGGGCTGCGGCTAGCTGTTCTTTGGTTATTTTGTACGTACGGCTTGTAAGCTCCGGACTTATTTGCAGTACCACTAGTTATTACCTGTTGCCTGTTGGGTTACTATAATTTGAGGTCTCCCAGTCCCAGCTTAGTCACACCACTTTACATATCTGAACTGAACCTTCAAGGTGCGCGCATATGCTTGCTTACTTATTTAGCATGTCCATTATTAGGATGGTCGATGTTGACACATGCATCTCTCAGAATGCGACTTCCAATACATATAATGTTTCTTTATCGGAATACACGTATGTATATAAAGCCAGACAAGATCATGACCTTGGTTAATCATAAAAAGCACTCATGTTGAGTAAAATTTACACATGGGATTCTCCTACGTACGTCGATATAAAAACAAAACATTGTTGGCCGAAGTTCTCAACGAACCAGAGTAACCAACTTACATATACACTTGGTCAGGGAATAAAAGAACAAATCCTAACAGAGACACTACACATGGGAGCATACGCATATACTCCTGCATGCAGAGAGGAAATAAAAGATGATATCTAATTTCATTTCAAAGTAAAGATAAGTGCATGTCGCATCGGATATTATATTTAGCTTGAACGTACTACGTGTTCACACACGCACACACTGCTCAACTTGAAGCATGGCAAGGAGAAGAAACGTCGATCACATGCATCACGCACGGGCTACTAGTCTACTGACGCGACGCACTTTAAGAAAGTATAGTGGCTCCTCGGTCAGAAACCGAAGTGGATCACGGACAGCGCGTGATCAAGGCGGACGGACAGCAGAACTGGCCAGGGTATTCAATATGGCGCACCCAAACCGTGATCTCATCAATTTTGAGCCGAGCCGACATCGCATAGTGTTTGAATTGAATACATACTGCTGGTGATTGGTGATGAAAGACCAGCCGTTTGAATCAACCGGGAACAAGCCTGCTGGCATGCAAAAGCATACGAAGCGTGCTGGTGACTGGTGCGCACACACTCAATCAAAACATTCAAGTACCTTTATGTCGGTACTCGTACAACATCGAGACAATATTTTGTGGAGCATACAATGTGAAGATGGACGAAACTGACCCTTTTTCAAAACTTCAATCTGAAAATATTTCCAAAACAGACCCTTTTGCATGCCCCCCGAGGCTAGGGCGCCATGCTAGATAGAGTTAATTACACGATAGTACCACAATTGGGGCCGTGGTGGCGAATTGGTATCAGTTTTGAAAATTTTTACGTGTCAGTACCACGTTTGGACCGAATCGTTGCAAATCGGGCTAAACTTCGTATTTGTACCCGGGCCCGCGCATCAGATGCCACGCTGGCGAATCGACACGCGCCCGCTCGCTCAATAGGTGCGGTCCGGCTCGAACCGGACCGGCCCGTGCTCCACTCTGTTCCTCCTCGCCGTCTCTATTCGTCGACGAACCCTAGCTCCCCTGCGCGTACGGCGATGGCGGCGGCACCCCCGGGCGGTGGTGGCGGCAGCGGCGGTGGCGGCGACGGCGATGGCGGCGACGGCGATGGCGGCGGCGCAAACCTTCCCCTCTTCGGCATCGGCGCGGCAGGAGGAATCGAGGGGAGATCTCCAATCGAGGGCGGCGATGGCTACTCGAGCTCTGAGTACTCCAGCGACGACGACGAGTTCATTGAGCCCGCACTGTCCATGGAGCAGCGGGTACGGCTGGCAAAGCAATGGGTGGCGAACCCTAGCAATAGCCATGAGCTGACCCACGGGCTCGGCGGCGTCCTGTAAGTTTCTGTTTCTGTCTCTTTTTTTTCTTCTCATTTATTTGCTAATTAGGGTTATAGTGTACTGATTAGGCAAATTGCATGTGAATTGTAGTTTATATGAAGACATATGGAATGTTAGGATCCATTTTGACAATAATGATTTGTTAGAGAGGAAATTAAGCTGTTCAGATGTGACATATCTAAATATGGTTGCATTGATGGAAACCTAAGGCTTTAGTATTGATGATTCACTGATGTTTTACATGGAGACCCCAGGAGAGCAGGGCTTGGAATTGGTTGATAGTAATGTTAAACTACAGTTGATCAAGAGGCAGAATGAGGAGAGTTTGGTGCTTAATTTGCTATTTAGGGCTTGTCCACCAGCTGTCAGTGTATCACAGAAGGATTTTGTACAGAAGCAAAATTTAGATATAACTGAATATTCTGAGCCTGTTGTTTTTGATCTTGCCGATCCTCCTGTTTATGCTGTTGATCAGCAAGGTGTTGCTTATGAAGGTCAGAGTAGCAGTTATATTGCAGCTGTAGGCTCTGCTGTTTTAACACAAGAGAGCAGGAGTGTTCTAAATTCCAAGTTAAAAGAAGTTGTGGAAGAAGAACAAGTTGGCTATGATGGCAGTTATGCATGTTCATCTGAAGGATCTGAAAGGCAGTATGATAGTGACATGGGGGATTTAAGGCCTAACTATAATGAGGAAATGCATGATGCTGAAGACATGGAGATGGAAGAGGGAAATAGACAGAGAGAGGAAGAAGTACAAGAGCAACATGAGGAAGAAACGGAGGATGAAGAATCAGAAGAAGAATTAGAGGATGAAGAACAAGTGCATTATGAGGGTGACACAGAGGTAGAGGAATTATTTGAGTTGGAGGATGATGACCCTATTGTTCCAGAAGAGGAGGAAAAAATATATGTGCCAGCAAAGAAGAAGCAGAAGTTGCAAGTAAGAAGGGGACCAACAACAAGGTCGCATTCCAGTGTTTTAGAAGAAGTGCAACCTGATTGGAAACCATCATCAGATGAAGAAGATGATAGTTTATTGAAGGACAGTGAAGATGATGGGTTTGAGCCACTAGCATTTGTGCTACCTCAAAAAAAGAAGAGTAGGGCAAAGAAGAGGCCAGCTAGAGTATGGTACAATGAGGATTTGGAACAACCACACCAACAACTAAAACTGCATATGTGCTTCAAAGATCAACATCAATTCAGAGATGCTCTGTTGAGCTTGCACATCACTCAGTGCAGAGACTTCAAGTATCACAGGAACTCAGATCAGAGGATCATTGTGCATTGCAAGAATGAACATTGTAAGTTCTGCATTGTGGCAGCTGTTATAAAAGGGGAAAACACTTTTGTAATTAAGAAGATGAGGATACAACACACCTGCCCTAGTTCTACTGAAACAAGCAGGGTAAGTGCAAAGTGGCTTGCAAAGCAATATGAGCCACTATTCAGATCTGATGTCAGTACTAGCATACATACACTTATTGATGCCTGCATGGAAAAGTATGGTGTGGATGTGCCCAAGGCTATGGCATATAGGGCAAAAAACTTAGCTGTTGAGGCTGTGTTGGGAGATCATAGGAAGCAATACCCAAGGCTGAGAGACTATGCTCAGACTGTGATGGATACAAACCCTGGGAGTAGAGTTATAGTCACCGTTGTAACTCCAAAAGCCACTGAAAAAATCCCACATCCAGGACCAAGATTCCATGCCATGTTTTACTGCATCAATGGAGCAAGGGAGGGATTTCTACATGGCTGTAGACCATTCATTGGTTAGTTCATTTTAGCTTGTACACTACTTTGATGTTGTTAGTTTCAATAGGTTGCACATATAAATGCATTTGACATGTTATGTTTACTTCCTGTTTTAGGTATTGATGGATGTTTTATCAAGCTGACCACTGGTGCACAAATCCTTGCTGCCATTGGTAGAGATGGCAATAACAACATATACCCACTGGCATTTGGCATTGTTGGACAAGAGGACAAAGCAAACTGGTGCTGGTTTCTACACCAACTGAAGATTTGTCTTGGAGGAGAAGTTGGACAGTATGGTCCATATACTATAATGTCAGACAGACAGAAGGTATGTTTATCCACCTTGCTTTGCCTGCTAAATATGTGTTTACATGTGTATTAGACAGTAGCTTAGCTGTTTAAATTGTGTGCACCAGGGGCTATTATATGCAGTGAATAGAGTTTTTCCTAACAGTCATCAAAGATTCTGCTTAAGACACATATATGCAAACTTCCAGAATGCTGGCTTTAGGGGGGAGGACCTTAAGAAGTGCATGGATAATGCCAGTTATGCATATAATGAACACAAATTTAATAAAGCAATGGATGATCTCAAAGCTGAGAGTGTGGAAGCTTGGCAGTGGCTTAGTGCAATACCCAAGAAAACATGGGCTAGGCATGCATTTGACACAAATAGCAAGACTGACTTGGTTGTCAACAATTTGTCAGAGGTGTTTAACAAGTACATCCTAGATCATAGGAAAAAACCAATAAAAACTATGTGTGATGGCATAAAGGATAAGCAGATGGTTAGGTGGCACAGGAATAGAGAGAGTGGAAGGGAAGCTAGATGGGAGATCACACCACATTACAATGAGAAGTTGGAGATTGAAAAGGAAAGGGCCAGGTACTGCAAACCCATTCAAGCAGGTGTTAACTTGTGGCAAGTAACTAGTGGTGAGCAAACACATGCTGTCAATTTGGAAGTTGAAACCTGTGGTTGCAGAAAGTGGGACCTCAGTGGCATCCCATGTAACCATGCCATCTCAGCAATCAACAAGGCAAAAAGGTTTCTAGAGGACTTTGTAAGCAAATTCTTCAAGAAACCATATTATTTGGCAGCATATGAACCAATGATATATCCTGTCCCTAGTGAGCATGACTGGACAAAGACCCCAGGTCCAGACATAGAACCACCAGCATTTAAAGTGAAGAAAGGAAGAAGGAAAGAGAAGAGAATAAAGGGAAAATTTGAAGTTCCAAAGCCAAAGTCCACCTCAAGAATGGGGACAATAACTTGTAGCAATTGTGGATTACAAGGGCATAAATACACAACCTGCCTTAAACAGTTGAAACCTGAGTTGGCCTTAAGAAAGAACAAACATGTGGTAAGCCCCTTTGTACTAGTTCTTCATTTTGATGTTTCTGTAAATTACCTTTCTTATTTGTAGTATTA